AATTTCTTGGAGTTGGAAATGGGATCACAGACTGTCAGACCTAGAAAGGTCATCGGAGGGCCTCCAACCCAACTTTTTAATTCTCCGACACACAGAGAAGGAAAGCACATGGCTTAAGGTCCTGCAGTAAGTTTAACTGAGACACTCACACATTTAACAAACACTGAGAGCCTATTATATTCTTGACACTGTTCAAGGCCAGGAATAAAGCAGTGAACACAATGGACAAAACCATTACAATCAGGGAGCTGTATTGCAAACTGGGGAGCCCTGGCCAGTGTGGCTCAGGTGGTTGGGAATCATCCCGTGCACCAGAAGGTTGCTAATTTGATTCCTGGGCAGGGCACAGGCCCGGGTTGCAGGCTCCATCCCAGGTGGGGGTGTGCAGGAGGCCGTCAATCAATGTTCTGCTCTCACATTAATGTTTCTCTTGCTCTCTCCCTCTCCCTCCCCTCCACTCTCTAAATAGCAATTAAAACAATCTTTAAAAAATAAAAAATAAAATAAACCTGGGAAGACTGAGTTGATGCATCCTATGGAATCACACTCCCCATTGGAAGGCTTCTGGGGTGTCATAGGGTATAATGCCTACCCAAGGTAGAAACTTCCCAGTGTCAACATCCCTGGCATCTGTGAGAACTGCTGGTGACAAGCTGCTGAGTGTAACTCCCAGCCAGTTTCACTGATGGACAGTCAGTCAACTGGGATCATTTAGTTAGAGAAATCAGCCCCTTCCATCCATTCACTCTAGTTGTTTTCTCAGGAGCACATAGAATGATGACCCTGCTCCCATTCCAGCTGCAGTCCACACTGCAGCCCCACCTTTGCCTAAAAGGTAGATCAGACCTTGTCTTCCTTATGCACAAAATACTGCATTGACTCCCCATCTCACACAGTAAATACCTGGAGCCTTGCAATGGCTCACAAGGTCCAAGCTGCCCTGCCCTTGCTCTCGTCTCATCTCCTGCCTCTCCCCCGACACTGGCCTTCCTACTGTTCCTCATCGCCCACCCCCAGCTCCAACTCCCTCAAGTGTTTGCACTTGCTGGTCTGTGCCTCTGTGCAGAAGGCTCCTACCCTTAGCCCCATCTCCCCCATATCTTTACCTAAATGTCACCCTGGCCCTCCTGTCTGAAATTGTACTCCACTCTGCCAACACACCCTAATCCTTTTCTTGCTTTTATTTTTTTCTCTTTACCACTTATTACCTTCTATTATATATTTTTAATTATTTAGCTTATTTTGTACCCCATCCTGTAAACATTCAAGTTCCACATGGACAGGGATATGGCTATTTGTTAATTGCTGAATCCCCTACACACAGAACAGTATGCCTGGCACCAGGTAGCACTCAGTGAATATTTGTTGAGTGAATGGAGTTCAGTCTTTTTCTCTTTTATGATTATGGTCAACTTTCAGCTTTCCTCTTGGTCTGATTTTCTTCGGTTAAGCTGCCCAAGGGCTTTCATCTTCAGCAATTACTTCACCTGGAGAGTGAATCCCTCAAGTGCCTGAAGACTTCTGTGATGGCTGCCAGTTTCCAGTGACTCTGCTTCCTGCCTCAAGGCCTCCACAAGCACTCTTCCTTCACTTTGATCACTCTTCTCACCCTCCATTCCTCTTCCCCCAGATTAATATGACTAGCTTTCCTTTCCCAGGCAGTAAACACAGCAGAGCCATAGGGTGCTTTCTAGGAGTGATACCTATGACTAGGTAGGCAAGTTCAAACCAGGAAGGGAGAAAGCAGAAAGACTACTTTAGTTTGGGGTCCAAGGCATCTTCTCCAATAACAGAGCTCATACTCCATTGAATTCCCATCAGGACTCTGGATAGTTCTTGACCCAAAGAGTGAGAGAGTGTGATTAATTTGAACCTTCAAAACCAAAGTAGGATGAACTGCCTCAGAACCCTAAGAGCAGATGAAGGGGTGCATAAAGCAGTCAAAGGACAACATGGGGATGTAAAACTCTTGTGATTCTGCCATTACCCTGACAAGAACATGCCTTAAGTATCTGTTGATATATTAGCCTGGACTCCAAAATGAGACCTGTGGAACTCAACCTGACCAGCAGCCTAGATCCACAAGCGACCAACACCAGCAAAGATCATCCTTAACTCTACCACACACTCATGAGCAAGAAAAATACCTATTTGTTTTTGATATATTGAGGTTGTTTTTACGTAACATTGTTGTGGCAATAGCTAAGTGGTACATATGATTTGGGAATGCTATAGAGTAAAAGTGTCTCCCCAAAATTCATATAGTAAAGCCCTAACCCACAGTGGGACTATGTTTGGAGATAGGACCCTTACAGAGGTAATTAAGGTTAAATGAGGTTATAAGGGAGGGTCCCTAATCTGACATGACTGGTGTCCTTATAAAAAGAGGAAGAGATACAAAGATTTCTCTTTCTCTCCATGCACACACAGAGAAGAGGCCAGATGAGAACACAATGAGTAGATGGCCATTTGTAAGACAGGAAGAGACCTTACCACACACCAACACTAATAGGACTTTGATCATGTACTTCTAGCATCCAGAAGAGAGAGAAAATAAATTCTGTTGCTTAAGCCATGCAGCCTGTGGTATTCTGTTATGGTTGCCAGAGCAGACTAACAAAGGGGGCATTAGCTGATGGAATTATTTTTGCTATCACAGCTTGTTTTTCATCTAGTTGAGATTTTGGGTTCTATATCAATTTTCTCAATAGCCAATTTATCAAATGTACTCTTCTTTTTATGAGGTTATTTACATTTTGTTTCCTTAAGCTCATCTTTAAAACTATCCATTTTGGCCCAGCCGGGTGTGGCTCAGCGGTTGAGCATCGACCTAGGATCCAGGAGATCGCCATTTGATTCCCAGTCAGGGCACATGCCTGGGTTGAGGGCTCGATCCCCAGTAGGGGGCATGCAGGAGTCAGCCCATCAATGACTCTCTCATCATTGATATTTCTATCTATCTCTCTCCCTCTCCCTTCCTCTCTCTGAAATAAAGATTATATATATATTTTAAGAGTATATCCATTTTGTTTCAGTTTAGTCTCTTAGGGATGAACCTAGAAAATATGCCTTAGATAAATTAATTCTGTCTTATTTTTATAATAAATGTGCAAAATATGTTATACAACAGTGAATATAAATATAAATAATACATGTATCAACCTGCATAAATCTAACATATAAAGTTCATTGCAAAATAAAGCAATTGTAGCCCTAGGTGGTTTGGTTCAGTGGCTAGAGCGTTGGCCTGCAGACTGAAGGCTCCCAGGCTTGATTCTGGCCAAGGGCATGTACCTCGGTTGCAGGCTGGATCCCCAGCCCAGGTCAGGGTGCATGCAGGAGGCAACCAATCGATGTGTCTCTCTCACATCGATGTTTCTCTCTTTCTCTTTCTCTCTCCCTTCCACTCTCTCTGAAAAGCAATGGAAAAAATATCCTCAGGTGAGGATTAAAAAAAAAGCAAGTTGCAGAATGCTTTATTATATATATATAGGGTGTCCCAAAAAAATGTATACACACTCTGAATGATTATAAAATCAGTGTTTATTAACATACATTTATTTTCTTTTTTAAAAATTTATCTTTGTTGTTGAAAGTATTACAGATGTCCCCTTTTTAATGTAAAAGAATCTACAGAAATGAATAACTTTTTTGTCAATGCCTGTTTTCACACTGATCCAGGTACTGCTGATACTGCGAAGCAACGGAATCACAAACATCAAGAATCATTTCATTAGGTATTTGTGTGCCCCCAATTCATCAACTGTTGATGGTTTTGCGCCATAAACTTTATCTTTTATGTATCCCCATAAGAAAAGTCTAGTGATACTTTAGGATAAATTTTCTTTGTTCAAAGCTTGGTCTGGCTGCACCCAATATTTCAAATCTGTTAAATCTGAAAAGGAGTGAATAT